TATATTAAAAATAACAAACAATTCTCATTAATACTATTGAAATTACAACGAAATAGCATTCTACGTCGATAATTTCAATCGTAGTTTAACAATTATTTTCAATCTGCAGTTAAATTCACCGTTTCCATGTTTTTTATACTTTCAATAAGGCTACAATAAAGCTAAATTTGTAGGAAATAACATTATTTAGTTATAAAATAGTAAAGGAAATCTAACAGTCAATCGCTTTCGATAAAACCTTGACCTTGTTCATATTACCGTCGGCTGCAACTAACGATGAACAGTTGCTCATAAAAACATTGCCTTTTCGCGTGATAATCTAAAGTTTTCTTATTTTGACATAATAGCCAATTTTCAATAAATATATTGATATTAAATTTATTGAATCAATATATTAAGTTTCAGGCCAGTTGTACCAAACGTTATAAGCGCTAGCACATCATAACCAGGGGGCGACCTCTGGGGGGGGGGGCGACTGCTTCTGTGTACGGTACTTGCTGAGTGACGAATCATCAATCATGACGAATAGTGCTTACGCAAAAAAAACCCAATGGAAATCGACTTCTGTATAGTATTCTGTGTCATAACGTTTCATGGTTTTGATTCGCCTGAAAACAGACCTACGTTTCGCCCACCCTAAAATTTGCGGGTCGACGGATCCGTAGACTTGCTCCAAGTCTCTCTTTCATTGTCATATCGATCCACTATGGTGTACATTACATGACGTAGCACTGAGAGGCGGAGCGAGAAAGAGAGACTTGTCAACTTCGGAAAATCTCGGTTCAAAACTGAACCGAAAATGCAAGACTTGCTTCAATTGTTTTCTGTCAGTGTTTATATGTATTGATCTAGCACAGTGTAAATAACATGAGTTCCATTATAGTCAATAATACAGAAAGAAGTTGAAGGAAAACAATTAAAGCAAGTCTTGCATTTTCTGTTCAGTTTTCAACCGAGATTTTCCGAAGTTGACAAGTCTCTCCTTCTCGCTCCGCCCCTCCGTAGTACGTCATGTAATGTACACTATAGTGGATTGATACTATATGACAATGAAAGAGAGACTTGGAGCAAGTCTAACGGCTCCGTCATCCTGCGAATTTTAGGGCGGGCGGAACGTAGGTCTGTTTTCACGCTAGCTTTTAATGGCATGCAACATGTACGCACTGCGTACCTATTTTTAGAATATTGGATTCAGTAATTGTATGGAAATAGAATTTTGAATTTTCACCAATTGAATTACAATGCATGTTTTCATAATCCGAAAGACGTCCACATTCAGCAGCGAGTGTTGGGCCAATATTAACAAAATAGCCGTTTAAGTGTTCAGCTATTTGTTTGCGATCATTATATATTATGCCATTAATATTAATTTCTGCAATGTTAGATGATTTCCCACCTTAGGGTGTTTATCAGTGACCATGTTTTTTTCATGTCTTTAACTAGGGAAAATTCCTTAATTCTTGTTTGATAATAGACAGTTTTGGCCCTTTTCATTCCCGAGTTAACTTTATTTCTCTCCGATTTATATTTATCCCAGTGAACCTGGGAATTATATCTCTTTGCTCTCTTTTTATGATAGTCTCTGGATCTTATATTAGTTTTTTAATGTTGAAATTTATCCAGGAAACAGAATTGTGCTTAATGCTTTTATAAATTAAGGGTGCATGTCTGTCAAGAGCTTCCAAATAAAAAGATTTCCAGACATGCCAATTGTCGTTCGGGTTCATATACTGTGTAGCTAAATACCAAGGTATTCTGGACAGTTCCTCAATAAAATCAGTTTCATTAAATCTTTTGAAATTTCTAACTTTGGAACGGGTTTGCCTATATTTAGGCATGGTCACTTTTTTCACTGCAAAAATTAAACTGTTATCTGACATTCCCAAGTCAATAACACCACTATTGGAAATGTTATTGGATTGATTGGTGAACACTAGATCAATTAAAGATGATGATGTGCTTGTGACTCTAGTTCGCTCCTTGATCAATTGCTCTAAGTTATATAATCTGCTCAGAAATATTAATTTTTTGGTACTGGAGTCTTTTGGTGTCTTAATCATATTACAATTTATGTCACCAATAACAATCAACTCCTTACTTTCAGCATCACATTTACTAAGAAATATTTCAAAGAAATCAAATAATTTCATCTCAAAGTTGGGCGGTCTGTACCATGCACTAATGAGAAATGGCCTACTTCGTGGTTTACAAATCTCAATACAAATCAATTCAAGCTCATCTGAATTTATATCCTTCCGCTCATAGAAGGAATATATCTCTCGAATATAAACAACCACTCCACCCCCAAATCTATTACGATCTTTTCGACTCATATTATATCCTGGGATACTTATTTCACTATCTTTTACTGAATTATCAATTTTAGATTCGTTTATAGCAAAAACGTCAATTTCAGAATCGGATAACATCAGTCGAAGTTCATCAACATGTCTTAAGAGACTATTAATATTTAAGCTTGCTATTTTCAGCCCCCTTAGTTTTTTAATTTGATGCAAATAAGAGTCTTTTTTACCTTCAGAGTCAGGCATCGTATTGTTTATCGATGAGTTCGCTTCTTTGACGACTGGGGCATGATCATCCTTAACAGCTCTCCCAGTTGTCGAAGTTCCTTCGGAAAAACCCCAGCACTTGATCGTGAACTAGTTCCTCTAATAAATTTAATGAAGTGAACAGCCAGTAGCGCCGAACCTTTCGCATTAAGATGTAGCTTGGTTGTATGTAAATACCGGCACCACCACCTCTTATCTTATCTCTGTTATTGAACGCGTGAACATAACCTGGAATTGTTACATGTTGAAGTAAAAGATTATTTTCTTTTAACCATGTCTCACTCATCGTGATTATGTCAAAGGCATAGCGTTCGATCATAAGACATAAGTGATCGAAAGTAGAGACCATACTTCGGGTATTAATATGCATGATCTTGAGGCATGTTGTACATGCTTATTAAGAATGTTAAGATGTGTATCGTTATCGTTGTCTGATGTTAGGGAGTTAACCGAGATTGTTTCAAGAATGTCATGACCATAGAAAGGCAACTTTGATAGAACACATTTATGGCATGTCCAACATTGTGGTTGATTGGAATTTAGGTTGTTTGTATAGGCGACTCCGAGACAACTTGCGTGAATAAAATCTTTGCATACATCACATACAAATCTTTTTTGATTTTTATTAACACCTATAAAGGAGCAATTTGCTCTTACCTTACTTACTTACTTACTTGAAGAATGAAGTTCTTTGTAGGGGTGTGCAGGATAGAATGTTTTTGCTATCGATCCAGCTGCATACAGGGTATATGTTGGATAGTTGAAAAATATCCAGCTAGATTCAGGGTATTATTCAAATATATAAATGTTTTTTCTAACCTGTAAAGAAGACCTGAACTAGCTGCGGCTGAGCTTCGCCCTATTCTTGATGTTACATGATGTTCTTGCTTTTTTTCTGCCCAGTCCCCAGCCAAGTTACTCTATGTATATATACTTAACTCTTTGGCTACTATAGAGACAGCTAACTACAGATTTTTAACTCATTTATTGACAGACCTCTACATGTACCTACTGATAAGTAAAATTGTCTGGCATTTACAGACGGTAAATACTAAAGTAGGTCCGTAATAACTTCTGATGTTTCAGCACCTCTACACTTGTTCTCAATTTTTTTTATTTACTAATTATATTTTATTTATTTATATAATACTCTTTCTCGACAGGCTATTTCACGTGACAAATTAGTGCAATTCATTTCGGTGCAAATATCTCCGCATGTACTTGACCTTTCACAGAGCACGATACATTGTTTGAAAGCTTATGAGTTCTGCTATCGATAAGTGACGGTTTGTTTTCATTTGAAATGTGTCACGTGACCAAAAACTGCATAAATTTGCATAAATTATGCAAAAAATGTATCAATTATATTTTAATTTAGCCTCATTGCGACGAAACAACGCATATTTTCCAATGCATTATATTTACGAAAAGTTAGCTTAGGTTATATGGTATATACGAGCCAAGTTTCATAATATTTGACCAACAGGAAATATTTATTTTTATTTTTTGAAATTCACCCTTTAGAAATAGCAGAATCTTACCTTTGATTCCATTGACATGTCTCTGATCTTGTAACCATGCCAGAGCCTCATATAGATATATATTTACATAGTGGTAGTAGTGGCCTTTTGGAATTTAACCTGCCCCACTCATTTTGTCGAGTGGGATCCTCGCTATTATTGGTCGAAATGAAGGTTCTAGGCTATTCGGCAACTCAATTTGGGAAATTCGACCACCATGAAAAACAAAAAATGTGTACAACAATATAATTTGTAGAATAGCTGACACCTTTATGTTCTACCAGTTCAAGGGACAATTTTCCAATTGATTGGGGAAAAGAAACAGTTTGCACAGGCACAAAAAGGTTTTTGAATGACGCTGCTTGAAATGCTACTTCGCATGATATTACAAATTCACCCACAACACACTTCTTCTTTCAATTTTTAATAATAAAGTAAACAATTACATTGAATATACATGAATGTAACACAAATAGTAAGGAAAATTTTATTAAAAAATGAAATGTATGTCAAACATTGAACTGTAATCATAATGGGAAATATGATACAAATCTTCATTTGTTTGACAAATTTGATATTGTACATGATCGTGAGCATACTACCTAAACAAGCAAAAGCAGAAATACTCATGATCATGTTCTCTTACCAGTATAATCACTACTATGCCATACCTCAAAACAATCAAACTTAGCACCAACATGCATGTGTTTATTATTGCACTGCGGAGCACTACAATAAGTATACACATACCTCTGCCCCAAACCTTTCCCATAACAAACAACACAATGCTTCCTCTTCTCAGCAGTCTTAGGCATATGGACAACACAAAACTGATCATGGCGAGGAACAGCCTGCATTGCCTCATACACAGGAGGATTATCATATTCTGCCAACCCACAAATTTGCCTAACTATTTCCTCCCTAAAATCAACAATAGTATGAGTAGACCACGGTGTAAAGCCGGATTATCCGGGTCGCTTGCACGATGCTGCTGAAAAAGAAGAAAACCGTTAACAACTGCCATATCTACTAAGTGGAAGAATAAAGTTTTCCACCATCTATAACACTTACGGGATACATTATGGCAGGCAAGTATTTGATCCGACCTATCTACTGCATTCATGTACTGATTATATCTATAAAATGCATAGGGCTGGTCTACATTTACGCGTTCAAATGCACCTCCTACCTTCGTTCTTCTCGTTGCAAACGCTTTTTCATTCGCGGAATCAATTGATGTTAGCAAGGAAACAGCCTTGTTATCAACCCATTGGATGGCTAACACATTTGATTCCCGCTCCCATCGCATGCTTCCTCGCTCCAACTTCTTTGCCCACACCTTCACATTCCTCAAGGACTTGGGGAAACCCGCCCTGTTAGTTCTACATGTACCTGATGATGGGGTTGCATGCAAAATCAGATCTTGGACTAACTGAGGGGATGTAAAAAAATTATCAAAAAATACATGATACCCCTGCCCCAAATATGGATCCACCAACTTCATCACCACATCATAACCCAGACCATTACCCGACGGCACTCCATGCTCCGACTTACCTATATAAACGTTGAAATCAATAGTATACCCATTAGAACTGTCTGCCAAACCCAGAGCTTTATCCCGCACTTTGTAGCCCTGTTCTTCATGTATTGCCTAATGCCCGACCTATGTTTAGACTTGACCATACGCTCATCCACAGCAATATTCTGGCTCGGTTGATATGACGCATGGCATCTCTCTTTGAATGCCGCAAGAAATTCCTCAACCTTGCGCAGTTTATCGCCAGGCTGCTCGTCGGCGGGATCTACCACATGTAAGAATGCCATAAGGGCTTTATAACGGGTACGGGAAAGTATCTTCCTTGCCCACAGACCGTGGTAAAGGGTCTTTGTGCTCCAATACTTTTCTACGACTGAGTCCACACGTACCAGACCAAAATAAATCAAAAGAGCAATCAAATGATTTATTTCATTATCAGTCGTTTCTTGCCAAGCCCCCTCACCAGTGGTGTAAGTTGTAAACCCCCCAGCTATAAGTCTCATGTATGCATAGCTGTTGGTGTGGGCAACAACTGATGTTATCATCTCGGTGGTGAAGAAGAGACGAAAAAACTCTAGTTCAGTTGTCATAGCTCCCCGCAAGACTTGCCTATCAAAATGAATTCCAGGCGGACGGTTTGGTTGAAAGGGAGGGAGGTCATGCATGGTGTCCGCGTCATTGTAAGACTTACTGCTAGTATTGGCAGTCTCACCACCCCTGGCCCTGCCAGCCCTGCCCCTACCAGCCCTACCCCTATTGCCAGAAGTACTGCTAAGGGAATCAGCCCGTCTCTTAGTTGGGGGTCGGCCCGCTTCACCACTACCCTCCCAATCCTGATCCTCGTCATCTCCTTCAAGGTCACTTCTTCTTCAAAGTCATCATCTTCTTCAAGGTCATCATCTTCTTCATCAGCAAGTTCTTCATCACTATAAAAAAGTAAATAGTATAAGCATACTGGATACATTGTATTATCTTACTTCATATGAAACAAAAATGCATGAATTAATTTTAAAATTCCCCCAGAAGCATATAAACAGTGTAAGCATACTGATACATAGTGCTATCTTGCTTCATACAAAACAAAAATGCATGAATTAACTTTAAAATTCCCCCAGAAGCATATAAACAGTGTAAGCATACTGATACATAGTGCTATCTTGCTTCATACAAAACAAAAATGCATGAATTAATTTTAAAATTCCCCCAGAAGCATATAAACAGTGTAAGCATACTGATACATAGTGCTATCTTGCTTCATACAAAACAAAAATGCATGAATTAATTTTTAAATGCCACGTATGACACGTGCGCAGCGTCATGGTCACACATTTTGAGATCAATTCTCAAACCCTTGATTTTTGTGCCAATACATGACAGAACTCTCAAATAAATGCCATAATACATAAGTTATGTGTATATTTGTTATATTTCAAACCAAATTATAGATTATAGACCAAATTTTCACCGCCAATACCGGCCAAACTTCACGTTTGCGTCGAATGCAAATTTGAGTCGATCGACAATGACATGACAACATCTGTTCGCTAAAAACATATAAATACTTGCCTGAAATCGCTATCAGATGCTACCAAACGTCTGTCCAATTCTTCTTCTTCGCCCGACGATATGCCACCATCATCAGAGTCATTATATTCGTCCTCTAGTTGTTGTATTACTGAACTCAGATTGAGTGAATTCGAAGCCATTATTCGAGATATTAGATCAGGAAAAATGGCAACGCGGTCGTTGCAGCGCACGTCACTTATAATACAAAAAATGCCATAAAAGGCCCGGATCTTGCCGTAAACCAATGAAATTCCAGATACTAGACGATTACATCATGCTGAATCGATTGCCGAGGGTTTTAGGTCCCTACGGAGAAAGGATACCGGCGATTTGTAAGCCCGAAGATTGCCGGCGGAATTACGATCGTTTCACGACGCACGTGCAATTCCGAAAATGCCCATAAAAGTCGTTGTTTGTTTCGTAATCTTACCAAATTTAGGATATAACAAGTTTTCGATCAACCTCGTTCCCAGGCTCTTTGCTCTTGGGAAGCAAAGACCCTGGCTGGGGCTGGTCACGTGGCACGCAGATTCTGCGTGCTAAAATAAATTGTGTCTATGGGTAGGGTGGTAGAGGAGTGGTTTGTCGTGTTTGGAAAATTGCAATTTATGTGTTCTAGTTTCCGGTGATAAAAATGTAATTTGCAACAAGAAATCGTGAAATAAACTGTTTACTAAAAATTCTATTTATCATGACACGACTTCCTGCTATATCAATGTCATCAATAATGAGTGTTGAGTTACATTTCAAACAAGAAGCTGAATCATATTTCAATTGCAAGGAAAGAACACCACACGCTACCTACAGCGTGCGAAGTTGAGCACGCTTCATCGTAGAAGCTACTTTAATATCTTCCACACCGACCGACCGATCAAACGAACGATCTGGCCGTTAAATTAAAGTGTATCCTGTCCGATATTCAAACGGATTTTTTTATAACGTGATCTTTTGGTTTCCGAAACATCGCCAACTGTTTGTAAATAATGCTACTGTATCTTGACTTGTGATAGCACAGGATTAAAACCCGTGTTCTTATGGACTATAAAATTCCTTGCATTGACATTGCTCTCTGGACATTGCTGAAACTCAACGAGCAAGACTTATTTCGAAGTATAGCTATCTGTTTTCACCAGTGAACTCTATTGGTTATCTTATGAACGCCATTCGTTTACGCCAAGACTTTTCCGTGCGTGCTATGGCTATGCGGTACAACGATAATATACAATACGATACATACAGTTAAAAACCATGACCAGCCGACAATTTAAAAAAATAAAGTAAAAAGCAAATTCCGAAAATACAGGACATCTTGAGAATTCAATATATAATTCAAAACAAGACGCAGTTTGAGACTGTAAATTTTCGACTTTATTTCAAAGTCATCTTCAGACAGAATGAAATACAATACTTTACAACACATATATATACAACGCAGAGAGAGAGCATCTGTCATGTGGGCGGAAAGAAGGATTATCCAAGCGAAGCGAAACATGATAGAGAAAAAAGTAATTAACTGAGAATGGATTATTTCGCTATATTTACAACAATGTTTAATATATTAAAAGGAATAAGATTCAGTTCACACTACTCAACGATCAACGACACTACTCAACGACAGAATGAAATACAATACTTTACAACACATATATATATACAACGCAGAGAGAGAGCATCTGTCATGTGGGCGGAAAGAAGGATTATCCAAGCGAAGCGAAACATGATAGAGAAAAAAGTAATTAACTGAGAATGGATTATTTCGCTATATTTACAACAATGTTTAATATATTAAAAGGAATAAGAACCAGTTCACACTACTCAACGATCTTCCTTTGCCTTCTGACAACTCTTCTCCTATTGTAAACCTTGTTTTCAACAGCTACAGAATACTTCACATTACAAAATCTAACAACTACAACATTCTTGCTTTTCTTGAAGCACTGCTTATCAAACATAACAAACCTTTTCTTAACACTGGACTTAAAGCTAGTAAAGAACTACAACTGTTCACATAACACTTTAACTTAATATCTTCTACTTGTCGGGTCTTCCCTTTCTATCTTATTCCTTTTAATATATTAAACATTGTTGTAAATATAGCGAAATAATCCATTCTCAGTTAATTACTATTTTCTCTATCATGTTTCGCTTCGCTTGGATAATCCTTCTTTCCGCCCACATGACAGATGCTCTCTCTCTGCGTTGTATATATATGTGTTGTAAAGTATTGTATTTCATTCTGTCTGAAGATGACTTTGAAATAAAGTCGAAAATTTACAGTCTCAAACTGCGTCTTGTTTTGAATTATATATTGAATACAGTTAAACATCAGACACAAGTATTTTATTTTATTTTATTTTATTTTATAGTATATTTAATATATCATGTTTTACGTGCAGCAATCTTAGCAGGCACATTATAAATCTTATAAAGAGCTTTATTGGCATTGCAAGGGACTAGCTAACAGTCGTGGGTCGTGGGTCGTGGGTAGAATGTCGTGGGTCGTGGGTAGAATGTCGTGGGTCGTGGGTAAAAAGTCGTGGGTCGTGGGTAAAAAGTCGTGGGTCGTGGGTAAAAAGTCGTGGGTCGTGGGTAAAAAGTCGTGGGTCGTGGGTAAAAAGTCGTAAGTCGTGGGTAAAAACGCGTGGGTCGTGGGTAAAAACGCGTGGGTCGTGGGTAAAAAGGCGTGGGTCGTGGGTAAAAAGGCGTGGGTCGTGGGTAAAAAATCGTGGGTCCCGAATAAAAAGTCGTGAATTCCAAGCAAAATATTTCCATATATTTACCTTTCTCCCTTTGGAATGCGTATTTTTTTCTTCTTCTGAGGCTTTCCCAAACTATGCCCAAATATGCGTAGCTTAGAGCGCGTTAAGGCCGGGTTTTTGATATCGGCAGATCGGTTTATAAATATTATAACCAAGTGTGGATGAAACAGTGCAACTTCACGCCCCATATAGTTCAAATATTTGGACGTTATAATCTTATAGACAGATAAATTAGTTACTGCAATTCTTCAATAAGAATATGGCTCAAGGCCACATGTACGAAAGCTGAGTAGCACTATCCACTCGATATTATAGTCAAATTTTTATAACCGGCAATGGCATCATATGTTTTCAAAGCTATATATGGAACTGCGAAGTATAGCTAACCATTTAATTAATGAAATAATATGACATTTGACTTATATATGGTCTTCATGTATATACTATACAAAGAATTCGAAGATCGCCGGTCTGCAAAATAATGATGCATCGATATCCATATCGGTAATTTTGTTGTTGATATTACCGACATCGTCGTAAACATTACAAGATAATATATCTCTAGACCAACCAATGTTGCTGTTATTTAAAACTGCTGAAGTCTATCCTAAACGATTTCTGAAATATCGCAAACTACAAACGGAACAAACCTTGCATGTAAACAATGCTACTCCGGCTGTTATTAAATAAGCGCTGTGAAATTTCCAAATTCCAACTTGCCATTGACTTCGCTGAAACTTGATGCTCAAGAAATATGTAGAAGTATACCTCTCTGTTATCAAACCTACGGTAAAATAATCCGACAAAAGCCTACTGAAAGATAAGTCAAAGCATGAATGTTACAAAATACTGTATGTGTCACTATGTGACTGTATATTTGTAACTTATATGTTTGACATTAGAAAATACAAATCACATCATGATAGATTTGACACTAGATTCACTACTTCTTGGTATGTATACATCATGGTATGTATTTAAGTGAAATCTCTCAAATGCTTTCTTTTATTTTTCCCTAGTAAATTAACAGACATTGCATTATTAAATTAACACTGTCCAAGTGGAAATTTCTCGCTTATTACTGTAAGAACATCGATCAACAAATTAGTGAAGCCCTGAATGTCAGAATTTAGCTATTTATGACAGGCTTGACAGCACTATTTCGTATTGAAGAATTACAATATTTATCTGTCTATAAGATTACAACGTCCAAATATTTGAGCTATATGGGGCTTGAAGTTGAACTGTTTCATCCACACTTGGTTATAATATTTATAAACCGATCTGCCGATATCAAAAACCCGGCCTTAACGCGCTCTAAGGGGCTGTTTATATGAGGCGAGCCAGCTCGGGTACCCAAGCTAGCTCGCTTTAGGCGGGATCCCGTCTTTGTTAACATTTCCTACTAAATTTCATGTTGCGTTTACATGAGAACCGAGCTGGCCCGCCTGACCGAGGTCCCGCTTCGTGTGACCCGAGACCTCGGGTAAACGGGCTGGGTAGTTTTCCATATAAACGCATTTACCCGAGCTGGCTCGGCTTTTAAGTAAAATAATGTCTTTGTGCGCATGCCCAAATGCACGTGTTCATTTTCAAGATGGCGGAAGAACAACAAGTTTCTTCGTGCAAAGTTTCGGCAAAAAAAACTTCAAAAGCGCGTGGAAAACCAAAACCGAAGCAATTTCGTTGGGAAACAGGAATGGTGGAAAACTTGATAAAATGCCTTCAAGCTTATAAGAGTGAAATGGAATACAAAAACGTTGATTTCGATGGCGATCGACCAGCTCAGTACACATGGGTCAGACAAGAAATGGCAAAGTTGTATGATGAAGATACCTCAATATTTGGACCTGTATTTCTCTCCCCTCCAAGTATACCATTTTCGACCATGTGCAAGGAAGAAAAAGAAGAATATACAAAGCAAAATCAGGCTGAAAATGAACTGACCAAGAAGGGATATTCACGAATCAGGGAAAAGATTAAAGATATAAGACAAAACTTTTCTCAAGCAGTGACAAACGGCCGACGAAGTGGAAGCGGAAAAATCGTATTCGAGTTCTACGATGAATTAGTTGTAATCTGGGGAGGTTCAGCTGCCACTAAGCCCCTTGAATTTGGTGTGATATCGGATAACTTCCAGGGTGCAGAGCAGGAGAGTGAGGACAATACCCTCGTGAATTCAGTAGTAGTCGAAGATGACAACGTAAACGAACAGACAACTTTAAATGAGCATGACATGGCAGATCTTGACCTCGATATTGACCAGCCTGATGGTAATATACATGATGTCATCAAAGCAGCTGAAGTGGCCCAAAAAAGAAAAATTAGTAACCAAATCCCACACCTCATTGACAATAAGCGAAAGCACCTAGAGAAGGCTCTCTCAGCTGCACAGCGAGATAAGCTGTTACTAAACGAGGCAAAAGAGGATTCTACATTTCGCAAAAATTTGGCAGAAGCAACACGGCAGTCGACAGAATCTTTTGCAATTGCATTAAAGGATGTGAGCACTTCCATCATGAATGTTGGAAATGGAATTTCTCGATCTATGGAAATGATGTCACAAGCTATTATGGCTCAGGTAATGTCCAATTCTCAGCCTCGGGGGCCATTTAATCAAAATCTCTTTTACCAACATGGTGAAATGTCACACCCACCCCCAGTATTTCAAACCCACAATGGTATGTACCCTCATAACCCACCATGTCCAAGTAATAGCAACATTGAACCAAACAACGAATAAACAGCTTGTTTCTATTTACATCTTACAATTTAGGTAATATAGAGCAGCAGACTGTTGCATATATTTGAGTTTGGAATGTTAAATTGATATTGTTAGGGTTTCTATTAATAACATCTGTTATTCCATATTATGTTGAAGCCTGGTTTTCACTAAACTGAGCATATTCACTAGTGAGGATAGCCAAAACATGAAGTGCAACCATAAGCAAACTTAGCAAAAATATCAAGGACTTACATTCTTTTTGTGCTTGCATCAGTGTTGCACAACTGAGGACAACCTCTTATGCTGTTTATGTTACAGTATATATAAGCTCACCAAAGCCTACGGCTCTTGTGTTATGCTTATGCTTGCGTTGCTTCATTGAAAACCATACAGGCTTTAAATAAACTGGGTTCATGTAACTAAAAAGCACAGCATGAGCACTGTTCTTTTGAAAGTTTTAAAATAAAAGTTATTTAGAAGACAGTGATGAATGTTAACACTGGCTTAACTTGAACTTAATTTAGTGAACATTATGTATATATATTTATTTATATATGTAACATTGTTATTGTTTTTGATTAATAAACATCAAGTTTTCAATCTTAGAGTACCAGATGATCAGGTAAATTATCCCGAATGTAGTTTGTTATTGTTTTGCGAACCACACCACCTTCACTACGATCACCTGAGTACACTGGGTCAACAAGGTGTCGGTTTTGATCTTCATTTTTTTTATACAAATCCATTTGGCATTTAAGAAGATCTTCATCAACATAAGATTTGTTAATTTCGCAATAATTGTGCAAGACACAACATGCATATACAACAACTGGAATTGATTCAATCTTTAAGTCAACTTTTTTTGTAAGAACTGACCACCTTGCTTTCAGTCGACCAAAAGCACATTCTATTGGATTCCTAGCTGCTCTTAGAAGAGTATTAAAAATTACTTCTTCATTTGAAGCACATGTGGCATATTCCTTCATGCAGAATGGAGTCAATGGGTATGCAGGGTCCCCAATTACATAGTTTGGTATTTTTTCTGAGCCTGGGAAAACAGACAGTTGTATCATTGGAATTTGGCCAGAAACTAATTTCTGATTAATAGAGGAATTTGCAAAAACTTTTGCATCATGCACACTTCCTGGCCACCTGCATTCAACATCCATAAATATGCCTCTATAATCACACACAGCCTGTACATTTAATGAATAGAACATTTTGTAGCAAAAGTAATCTTGTGGATCCTTTAGTGGTCGAAGGATAGGAACATGTGTTCCATCTATGCATCCAAAGGCCTGTACAATGCCAAATTTTGTCTCGAACTCACAGACCTTTTTCCTCATTTCATTCTCATCTACAGGTAAGTGCAAATACTTCGGCCCAAGTACTTTTGAAATCACATTGGAAACCTCAACTACAACACCAGAAACTGTACAGACAGCTATACCGAAAGCATTTGCTGTCATAATGAGGGAGCCAGTGTCTTTCAAATAGTACAATGTAACAGCCAGTTTCTTTGCACTATCTAGTGCTCTGTGGTTAGGTGAACTGGGATCGGGTGAAATGTAAGGTTTAAGCTCAGTCTCAAGTTCTAGAAACGATTCTTTGGTCATGCGGAAATTCTTCATCCAGAATTCATCAGGTGCTTCGCCATTTATCATCTTTATCCACCATTGATCTGATCTGCCAGGTTTAAACCAACAACTTCTATTAC